ACACACACACACACACACACACACACACACACACACATCTTCCCACACACACATCATCCATTATATTTGTAAAATGACACATTTTCCTGTATCTCATTTTAATACCTTTAATGTTTTAGACTGAAAAAAGTAACATTTTCAAATGTCACTAAAATTTCAACAAAATAAATCACAAATCAATAAATATAAAAAACAGAATCCACTAAATATTCTACAAGAACCAGGAAGTACATATCTCTCTGTTTTTTTTCTCCAGACCTCTGAGTATGTTTTCATCTTCAGTCACAGTATTTATACATAGTACTTTTCTTAATGTAACATTGTTTTTAACATATTTTAGTGCTTGTGATAGGACATCTTTAAACAGTTGTAGGAGTTACTTAATTCGTCAAAATTAAAACGAAATAAATGAAGTTTATTAAGATTAACTTTGTGTTCTTTTTGTTGTTTTTATTTTGTTAGTATTTTTGTTGCATTAGTTTAATTGTGAATCTTAAGTAAAACTGGTATTGGACCAGCAGGCAGTGGGCCCTTATTCTCAGTTTTTATCTGAATTCTCAAATTTTTTGTCTGATTTATTATTAAATACTGATACAATTATAATAATGTGGGTTTAAATATTCATGTATATGTTAAAAGTAACAGATTAAACTTAGCTTTTGGTAACTATAAAGTTAATAATGTAACAGTTTAAAATAAAATTAAAATAAGCTTTTAAGTCTGATGTAATTTCAATAAACGTAACAATTTACTATTTGTTCCCCCATCTACAACAGATTGTGGTTATATAAGAAAAATGTCTCATTGCTGAATATTTATAAAGTCATTTTAAAAATCACAGGAGACGTTGCAAATTTTAATTTTATTGTTTATTTGGTGGTGATATGTGTCACTCAGATCGTTCAGTCCTGCTTCTTCCTCACACAAATTCTTCAGAAGTAAAACTGTTTTTTTTATGTTTCTCAGCTCAATGTGACTCCATCCTGTGAGTCCGTGCGTGGTGGGGGGTCAGTTTCAGCAGTCACCAAAGACAAAGCTCCTCGGCAGGTGACGGTTGGGGCTGCTTGGCTCGTCACAGAGTAGGTCTACGTGCTCGCCTGCAGGCACCGTGGTGCGTAATTACGCACGAGTCCAAGATGTAACCCAGATCAGACGTGTGGTACGGACCTCATTAGACATAACCTTAAAAGGCAATATAATCCAAGCTAACCAACGTTCGTTATTTTTATTATTCAGTTTTGTTTCATGATTTCTGAAATTGTATTTTGTAATAACAATCACTTCAATAGCAGCAACTAGAATAGTCAACAAATACAGAACTCACTTTATTTAGGCCTACATGGTGAGTCAGGACACTTATTCTGGATGTGATCTACAGAGATAATCCCCCTCTACTTGATGGGGTAGTCACAACTTTGCTCCTCCGTGATGTCAGTATTATGTCACTATCCATAAACTGCATCAGTACTGTGAAGGAAAATGAAATTGTCACCTGTGTATTTAAGTTTTGAATGTATTCTAATAGTTTCTTTCTTGTTTTACTTCTAACTGTATTGTTTGCTTACTGTCATGATATATTCTGAATCATTTCAATCAATGCTGTAAGCTTCCAGTAGAGCACCTTTAAAGTGTCATTTCTTGTTGTTCCAGTTTAAACCACACATACACACCTGTTCTGCACAACAGGATTGTGGGACTATTTACTTTGTTACTACTGGAATGTGAACATGTAAGAGATGATGAAATATGAAGTATAACTACATTCTAAGGTGTTTTTGTTTACAGACCACAGAACAAGTTTTAACTGAAACTAAGGTATTTTGCTGCTCAGAACCACTCCTTACATGTCAAAAACAACCAGTTTAGGGACTGGTTTACACTAAAGGTATAACAATGCTTCACTGGGGCTGTGTCCTCAGACTCAACTTGTATTGCTGTATGCATGTTGACTCATTTTATTACAATAAAATGACTCAGAGACCGTTTGAAGAACTTTTTTGATCATGCATTTTCTGCAATTTAACAGACATGGAAAAAAAATTCTCACCAGTCTACTGAATTTAAGTTGTATTGGATCACATATATATACACACACACACTTTGTTTTTGTTTTCATGTCTAGTCCTTAATGGGAGAACATTACGAACAGGACATCTAGTAGTTTTATTTCAGAGACAAGGACACAGAACTTTGCTCTTTACAGACCGGGTGGGTGGCTCTTAAAAGAGCCTTTGTGTTTGATGTTAATGGAGGAGCAGGTTTACTTGGAGCTCGTGTACTTGGTGACAGCCTTGGTTCCCTCAGACACGGCGTGCTTGGCCAGCTCACCGGGCAGCAGGAGGCGCACGGCGGTCTGGATCTCCCTGGAGGTGATGGTGGACCTCTTGTTGTAGTGAGCCAGGCGGGAGGCCTCGGAGGCGATGCGCTCGAAGATGTCGTTGACGAACGAGTTCATGATGCTCATGGCCTTGGACGAGATGCCGGTGTCAGGGTGGACCTGCTTCAGCACCTTGTACACGTAGATGGCGTAGCTCTCCTTCCTGGTCTTCCTCTTCTTCTTGCCTCCTTTGCCGGCGGTCTTGGTCACGGCTTTCTTCGAGCCCTTCTTGGGCGCAGACTTGGCGGGTTCAGGCATGATTTCAGTTGGAGTTCACTGCGACGAGAGTACCGCCGAGGAGGGGCCCACTTATCTTATACACACTCCATGCTAATGTAACTGTGCTGGAGCCTGGCTGTGATTGGCTGAGCCTGCTCACTAATCTGCTGCAGTGGAACAACTGAGACAAAAGCGCGGGAGTGATCCTTTACTCTTCACTTTTTATATACTTTAATTGAAAACTAAAAATACTAATTTTCTGTACGTGACAAGACTAGAGAAAGATATACATATAAAGTAGATCAAATCTGTCACAAGAGACAATTTGCATTTAGAGTTCATGGCTTCTCTAACTTAGAGGTTTACAGTGTTTTTAAAGATTCACTGTTTTATGAATCAATGAATCCATTTCTGGTCAACCACAACAAACTGGTGTAAACCAGATTTATAAATGTCCTGATGCATCTCAGTAATCCAGGTAAAAAATCAAAAGGAAAAAAATGTATCGGTCTTCTGGACGGGTTCTTCTCTAATGAAACGTTTCGTCTCTCCTCCAAGAGACTTCTTCAGTATGAGAGTTTCAGGCAAAGTTCAGGCTTTTAAGCACTGCCTCCAGGTGACTGATACTCACATCACATGGCTATCGTTGACACCTAATTAACACTTATTGTTAACAGGGGGTGGAGTGATACTGGCCAGAACTCTGCAGTTTTCACTCATTTAC